GCTCCGGCATGGGGCTGAGCTGCTGAGGTGGTCATGTTCCCTGTTGAGGTTTGGTTGGGTTTTTTTGGCAGTTCACGGGGCAGTGCCAGTGCATGCCAGGCTTCGGAGGCCGTACCTGCCGCGAGTGCCAGGAGCTCTTCTGGGGTGACCCAGGTGTGGAGTGCCGAGGTGAGTCCAGCCCCAGCGCCTGCTCTGCTTGTTCCTTTTGGAAGTGACCCAGTGGCCAGGCGTGGCCACACCCCCCCGGGGTGGAGGGCAACCCCACTGGGAGCAGCTTCTCTGGTAATCCCTGCCAGTGCCCACACAAGCCTTGGAAATGCAGGAGGAAGGCATGGTGGGGTTTGTACCTGCGGTTTTGATGCCTCTGGTGATGGGAGGTGTAGCAGCATCTTTCCCTGGTACTTGGCTGTTTTATTTTATTTTGTGTGGGAGCCTTATTTAGAAACAAACCTCTCTGTTTAGAAACTTAACTCTTCTTTAACTGTTAGCTTGCAATGCTGTCAGGTAAGCTGGTGTGGTAAGAAAACATATCTTGGATGTTGGAGTTTGAGAATTGGTCTGGAAACCAGTTTCCTTTGCCTTTCGATGTACGTGGTGGAAGACAGCTGTGTCCTCTTGCATCTTGCTAGGGAGACTGGGCCTGAAGCAATAAGATTTTTGGTTTAGTACTCTTCTTACATTTCACACTGAAATAAAGGAGTGAGCAGAGAACATGCAGCAGGTTAGCCATAGCTACATGGCGCAAAACAGAGCGCCGTGAAGTTGCTTGTTTAGAAAACTGGATGCTGTCTGTCCTTTCATTATAAACAAGTCTGTTCATTAGCTGGAAAAGAAACTTCAAACACTGTCCAGACCAGAACAAACTTGTATCTCTGATCTGTTCAAATAGGAGCCTTTGCCAGGAGAGTTTGCAGTAGATTAAGGTATTTTTTCCTTCAGGGAGGAATGCGCTTGCTGCGGTCTTTAACAAATCCCTTACAATAGAGATACCTTAAAGCCCATTATCTAACCAGATAGGCAGGTCATAGCTACTTGGTTAATGCAGCAGATAAAAGGACTGGGGAATTGTCCCAGTTCCTGAGCACATATTGGGTTTCTTGCGGGGCGAGGCAGCCTTTCGGGGCTGTGTGTGTTCTGGCAGGGTGAGGGGTGCTGACCCTGCTGGCTCTGCGGCAGGGATTGTCTCTTGGTATCAGCTGTCTCCATCAGGGTTTATTGATGGAGTCCATGTGCATACCTTATCAGCAGGATTTTGCAGTGTACCAGCATTTCTGGTCTGTCATGGAGTTTCTGCTGCTTTTTGAGCATGTATAAACCTGCTTTTTAATGTTTCTGAAGTAGAGAGAGGATATATTCCTCAGAGCCTGTTTTTACCATGCAAGCTCTACGCTCTTCTTCCAACCCACCACCCCTTCTGCCCTCAAATTACACAGGAGACTTGCTTGGGTGGAAATGGAGATTTTCTTTCAGGATTACATCCAACAGGAGGTCTCTGTGGCAGGTGAGGAGAACCAGTGCTCAGGTCTGTGCTGCGGCAGCCTGCGGTGCGATGCCCCAGGTGGGCTGCAACCGTGTGCTTGCTTGTGGAGCACATCCCGCCCCGCAGTGCTGCCAGGTCTCCCCATTGTGATGGGGTCAGTGCCTCCCGCCCTCTCTCGCAGAGAGTGAAGTGACTTCTCAGCCCTCATTTAGTCCTAGCGAGTGAAGGGTCACGTTCAGGCTGGCAGATGTGCAGCCACCGTGTAGGCAGGTAGCAGCTCTCGGTAGTAAGCATTTTGCGGGTGAACTGGAAAACTGCTATGTAGGGAGTTGCAGAGCAATGCCACTGGAAAATAGCTTAAATATGGCCTGTGGCCAAGGTGACACTGGAACTGAGATGGGAATTTGTCACAAAGACGTTGGCACCAGCTGCAGGGGGACGCAGGGACTCCTGGCCATGGCATTTGCCACCTGCCCTTGGCAGCATGCTTGTGCTGGCCCAAGCAGCCAACAGGGCCACGTTTTGTGCTGCATTCAGGAAGAAAATACAATCCAATCTGGGTGGGTAACAGGGAGAGCTCTGAACCACATGATTATGGACAGACAGACTTTACTGTGGGCACCAAGCCAATGCAGAGGTGTGGAGTCAGTCCTGGTGGCTCCAAGGAGAGATTCTCCACTGGCCAGGACAAGTGGCTTCTGCTCAAGATTGGAAATCACAGGGTGCATCACTCAAGGGGCAGTAATGTGTGGTCTCTTCAAGAGACACGAGCTTCTGCTGAGAAACAGGGACTGTACTGCCCACGTTTCTGTGACACCTTTGACAAATTTTCTTACTTGACTTTTTACCCTTGCAGGCTGCTGCCTGTGACTTGTTTTGTAGAAATCTTGGTGAGATCAGAGATGGTAGAGCAGAAGCTGGGGGAGGTAGGTTTTTGCACCTGGTCTGCGTGCTTGGAATTGCACGCTGTGCTCCCTGCAGTGGAGAGAAAGCATCATTGGGTGTCTCCTTTGCCTCCGTCCCCAGTGATCGTGCTGGAACCATGCTGCTTGGGCAAGCTAACGTAGGTGCCTATACCTGGGCAGCATCTCACCTGCTCGGTATTGGGTATGCTCCCACCACCCACAGATAGGACTGGGTGTTCAGAGACGCCCTACCCCATGCCTTAAAAAACCACACAGTTATTTAATTTAACATAATGCCTGAAACAAGCACAGGAGAGGTGTAGAGGTAGGGAAAAGCCCAGTGCATCTCAGCCCTGTGCAGGTCCCCGACAGGATTAAGGTGAGCGGGAGCTGTGCAGCGAGCATCCTCTCACTGGCAGGACTCTTCTGGCTGTTGCTTTAGCTACAAGCTATCTGCAGGCTCCACACAAGCCTGCACGTGAACATGTGCACGTGTATAAAAATCATTCCTAAGGTAGTAAATAACAGGATTACAAATCTCAGCAAACTTGAGTTTCCCGGGCGTTCTGCTGGAGCTTTTCCAACGCCTGGCAACCGATGTGCAGGTCTCGGCGTGCTGAGCCCTGCGACGGCGTCAGCCTGCAAGGCACGTTTCTGGCAGGAGGCTCCAGGCTCCCAGGAAGCCTCTGAGATACGGTGTGGCTGCAGAGACAGCTCATAGAATGCCCTTGCACGGTGGATATTTGAAGTTTATGGGTTTCATATAGTGTAAAGGAAATGAAAATGTTTCTATTATCACTGTTTTTAGTTGAACAAACAGAGCAGAGTGCAGTTAGTAGAAAGCACTGCATGAAAGTTAAGTTTGTAGTGCTATCTCCCCTTTACAAGAAGCATACCTTTGTCAATATATTTGTGTTGGACTTGAGTATCAAGCAGTATTGTAAAAACCCCAGAATTTAATTGAACTAAGATTAAAAAAAGTAATGTTTTTTATCAAATACTCATTGCAGGCATTGGCAGAAAGTGATTTTTCTCATTTTTTTGTCTTCTTTGCGTACTGGTGCCATAAAATATCTGTTCACTGGAAATTACTCCATTGCCATTTAAGAGCAGGCAATTTAACACCTGGATCTTAAACTCGTCACATAGGCTGCTTTTATAGGAGGCCTTTATGGTACAGAGAGAAACATTAGCAGATGTTTATTTTCTCTCTGTGATAAGTGTCTAAAGGAAATCAAACAAATTCTAAAGTAAAGGAAATACAATTTTCACTTTGAGTTTCACAATTTCAGTTGACCTGTGATCTTAAAATATTATGATGTATATTGATTGTTTCCAGAAAATTGCCCTTCTGGCAAGGTCTGCTAGCATGGTAAAATGCAACACAACTCCACTAATTCTAAGCTGGGATTTTATCTTAATACTCATACTAAAAGTTGTAATGCTGAGGAGTTAGCAATATGCTTACAGGGTAATTTGAATCAATAGCTGAATATTCAGAAGAAATTTGCTAGCTCTGCAAAACTTTCAACCTTACAAACTGCTGAATGGTTTTCTCATCATAGTGTCTCACTGCCACTGGGAAATGATGCCAGGAAATCATGTTTGAACAAACCCTTTGTTGTTTTTTTCTGCGGAGGAGTTAAATATTTGATGCTCTCTGTCCCCGATCTCAAGCAGTAAAGAAAATATTTCTGCAAAAATGACTTCTCTTGTGTGTAGGATGATGTATGATGCTTGTTCTTAGCATCCTGCAGTAAGGCATTAAACACTGAGACTGATCTTTGTACTGCCCTTTCAGTATCTATTATATCATCTCAGCTGTAGTATTAACTGCTCTGACACACCTTGGTTTAAATTGCAAACATGCCACGTATTTAATTACAGTAGTTTAAATGGAAGTTGAACTTAAAATATATAAAATCAGAGGGAAAGGTAGCAGAGCTGTCAGAGTAAGTGAAAGATAAAGCGGTTTGAAGAACCTTTGTGACCTTAAAGCAAACTGCTCAAGCAAGTCATTTATTTCTTCGAGATTTCTCCCCTTAGGTTTCTATAAGACTACATTCAATAAACATGTATGAATGCTACTTTTATCTTTAAGATCAGGAAAGAAAATAATGAAAGAAAAATGCATTGATTAAGGTAGTATAAAAATTACCCATGGGTACTCACACGCAGCCACAATCTCAGAAGTTGCTCATGAACAGATCCTGAACTGAAGAATTTGGCTAGAAAATTTTCCTGTCAAAAATATGGTTTCCCTTAAGTTGGGAGTGTGCCACAGAAGAATGTCTGATTGAGTTAAACACTCAGTTAAAGAAGACAATACATGCAGTTCCAAAATGACATTTCAAAACAGAAGCCTGTTGTTTAATTTAGTAAATGCTCCTTTGAAAACCCTCAAATCTTTGGCCAACAATTTCAAAAGACTCCTTTTCCTCAACTGTATTTTCCATGGGATGTAGTATCCTGCTCTGCTCACCCAGGGACAGATTTCTTTCCTGTCTAAAACTGATCTTCAGAGTCTGCAGAGCGAGCAGCCCCGACGGTGTTCATCTGCAGCCTTTCACCTCGGCCTCAGTCCCCCTCTCTGTATGACAGGAGAGTAATCAGCCATTTGTCTTGAAGGCCATTTCCAACCCAAAGTGGTTAAGGCACCTGAATCTCTCACAATAAACTAAACATCTGTGTGATTTTTCAGTGAAAAATTAAGCACTTTTCTCAATTTCTAGTCATGTAAGTGTAGGCAAGGCATTTAAAAGGAGCTTACAGGGCTTTTTGGCTTTCCATATTCCACATACACTATTGTTAAGTGGAGTATAAAGCCATTGCTAGCTACCGAGTAGTATCTGAAACACTTCTGTAGCCCTAGGTGTGCCTGTGTGTTTCTTGTTCTCCTTGAAAAAAAAATAAAATAACTGGACATATGCTAAAATTAGTTGTGTAGCTATCTGGTCGTTATATCAGACTTAGGAGTGTGCTTATTAGCGCTGGAATCTCCAGAGCCAATTGATACTTTGAAGACTGTGATGGAGTTAGCCTATTTGAGTAAGTATTACATCAGAAGCAAAACTGCCATGAGGGAGAGCAGCATTAGCACTGGGCTTCTTGGGAGCTGACTCACACGTTGGCCATAGGAACAGCTGGGCATTAACGAAGGAGGTGTTAGAGGAGCAAGAACTCCACTGTGGCGAGAAGTGATGCTGGGGTACTCTGGCCACAAATGATGCTGGGCATGATGTGCTGGATTGTTCTTGTGTGGTGTTTGCTCTATTTTCAGCAGGTGATAGGAACCAGGATGTCTCCTGCTTTCACATCCAAGTTCACTGGCAGTGGTAATGGAATGTCTTATGAATTCTTTCAGTGGATGTTTTTTTCACTGTGAGGGTGACAGAGCACTGACACAGGCTGCCCAGAGAGGTTGTGGAGTCTCCTTCTCTGGAAACATTCAAAACCTGCCTGCATGCCTTCCTGTCACTCTAGGTGATCCTGCTCTGGCAGGGCGATTGAACTACATGAGGTCCCTTCCAACCCCCAACATTCTGTGATTCTGTGATTTTCATCCACCATCGTGAGTGATGGATGTGTAACTTGGTTATTCTTCCATGAGTTATTTGTGAATCCTGTGCTAGCCTTTTCCAGTCTGTGCCACCTAGGACGACCTTTCCTTTAACGTGGATACTGTCACTGCGCTTTTGCCCCTTTAGGACAACGTTGCTTTTTTGTCACTTTAGGGTGAAATTGTGCCCTGAAATTCTGCAGAGACTGAAGCGAGCAGGGTCTTGGTAGGCAGGCATTGCATGAGGCAAAGAGATGAAAACTGTGCACTGAGCTTTCTGCTTGGTGGCCCACGGTGTACAAAGATGTTCCTCGCTACCTAGAAGGCGTTATACAGTCTTGGCATGGGCGTGCTTTCCTCCTCTTGAGAATTGGCCACAGCTGAAGTCAGTGGGGGTTTTGATCCCCACTATGCTGTAAAGGGAAGATGCTCTCTGCAATGGCCTTGGGCATGCTTCTTGCCTATTGGTGGTGGCCAGCGCACGGGATATGAGACACGTCTACTGGTAGTGTTGGTGATGGTGGGGATCCTCTTCCACACGACCATGGAGGGCGATTTCTGCGGGTTTCTGGCTGGCGTAATATCGTTATTAATGCGGTGTCCCAGCTTCTGGTAAAAGTGTTCAGACACTGACTAGCAAGGAACAGAGATGGTTTCAGTCATCTCCGGTAGAAGTGCTTGGCTGAGGTGATCTAGACTTCAGAAAAGATCCCATGTAACCAAACACTGGCGTGCATGTGTCATTTGTGAGGTGAAAGGTTTGCTTGCAGGATGAGCTGTAAGAGGAGCAGTGGTGCTTTTGTGAAGGCTTAAAAAATATTTCAGTCAGTGCCAGAAGGAGTTTTCTGAGGGCTGTTCCTGGAGAGACCATACCACCAGCATGTAGAAATGCCTCCTAATGTTTTCAAAATGGGAAGAAAAAATCAACTGGAAGTTACTGAAGGAGGCTTTTTCAGGTCTTCCTTTAAGCTGTGTAATTTTGCTTAAAAATAGAGATTAAATTATCTTCAGTTTTACCTTTTGGTTTGCAAACTGCTGTGGTCCTGTGCACAGTTAGTGACTTAGGAAGATCATGAAGAAAAGAAAGAGCAAGTGTGAAACCAGCACTTTTGAAAGCCATTTCATATCTGTTGGATTCGCAGTACGGAGGTAACGCAGAGCCAGCATTGCCTGCTTCCGGGCTTGATAGAGAATCCTAAAAGGGAGAAGTAACCCACAGTAATGTTTCTAGCTGCCTCGTGCAATTTTCTCATGGGTCCCACAAAGCTCTTTTTGGAAGTTTTGTAGAATTCTAGAAATTTGATGATTCTTCCAACTCTTGTGCTGCAGTTAGAACAAATGACTTATTTGCTCTTTATCATCATCTGCCCACAGGCAGCTTTGGAATTTGGGTTTTCACTTTGTAAACGAGTTAGTGCTTCAATTCTCCACTCCCCTTCCCCAGCATTTTCTGGCTTCAGAGATTTTGGAACCCACATTACCATGTAAATGCTACTAAAGACATGTCATCTGCCTTTCCTGAGCATGCAAGTATTCAGGAGTAGAATTACCAACATGTTGGGTTTGGTTTTTTTACTTTAAGCTTTTTAAATCCACAGTAAATAGAGTGATGTGATTTGCTAGCAGCAAGTATTCATGTAACTTGGTCAGATCTCAGTATCTCTGAGAAAAACCACATGCCATTTAGCCTTTTTCTGTGCAGAGGAATTCAGACAATTCATCATTATACTAAGGGCCTTATTAGTTGACAGAAGGGTTAACTGACCTCCTTCAAACAGGAACTGGATGGTTTGCCCGCAGGGAACATATTCCGTGGCAAGTTGACTACTTAAGCACTTTCGATGTAAAGTAAAAACAATCTCTTGTGTCAGGGTATAATTCAAAGAACAAAGGACCATTTTGCTCAATTGTGCAGGCAGCAGAAGTTATTTTTGTCTCTTGCCTATCATATTCACATTGTACAAGACTGTTTTGTTGAGGAGCGATTTGTTCTGCTGAGGCTCTTTGTGTGATTTTTGAACTGAAGACCACCACTGTGTTTTGGCATTGAAGCAAACAATGTACAATCTTGAAAACGGCTTTGTGTTTTGCCCTTTTTTTTCAAGGGGGCATGTGCTTGGGGTGCATGAATTGATTTATGGACCCTTTTGAGCGATTAACCTCCTTCAAAGCTGCCTGGTAAATGGATGTGTAAGTGGAGGCTTTTATCAGTTATCACAGTCCTTCTTCTGCTGGAGGAGGAACTGTGCTTGCCCTGCTCCTGCCACGATGGTAGGTAGATGACCTGCGCATTAAAGCCTCTCTTTTTATTCTTTGCTGCCATCCACGTATTAAAAGCGGGTTGGTAATTTCCTCTGCTGCAGCTGCCTGTGTAATTAAGGAGGAGGAGAGGTCAAGTGGTAGCCCTGGCTGCATGGAAACATGGCTCCTGATAGCGTTATTGTGTACGAAGCGTGTCAGTGCTCTTAGAAATGGCCATGCATCAGTGAATGGAGTAACTTCTCTTCAAGGCAGGTTAGTGCGAAAGAAGTGCATCTTTATTCTAAAAGCTTGGTAAAAGAGGGTGTTGCCCAAACCTTGTCACTCTGATTTGGCAACCACCTGGAGCCCCTGGGCCTTAACTGACTAGAGTATAAAAATAGGTAGTTGCTCACAGTTAAAAAATAAAATAAGAATGAAGGTCCATATCAGGAATGTGTAATATTTACTCCTGAGCTGGTGCTGAAATTGTAAAATAACTGACAAAAACCCAACAACTGTTAATTGTGCTCATTCCAACTTGAGAGTGACAAAGTGTGTACACTTTTGGTCATTAGCACCTGTGTTGGAGAAGTCTCCTTTCTTCTCCCTCAGACAGGGCTGACCATGACCACAGTCTTTGTTCTATTCTACTTTTCACTGCCCAATCTTTTCCAGTTTTTTTATATAACCAAAACATTAGCCAAATTCCGGGCTCTTCAGTGCATGCTGTGAATATTTTCATCTGTGGCAGGAGCATGTTCTGAGCCAGGCAATGTACCCTTGCATAGAAGGTCTCTCAAGGACTGTTACTCCATAAATTTGTTCTTCCTTGAAGTCATGTCAGCTTTTATCACCCTCAGTGTCTTGTGGTAGGGACCTCTGCCACTTGTCTAAGCCCTGTGTAACCAACTATCTCCTTTTATCATGTTGTTTGTGGGAGGTGCAGTGGAAGGTGGTTGGTTTTGATCTGCTGGATTTCTCAGCTGACTCCTGCTCCTGTGCTGGAGGAGACAATGGTTCTTCCTTGTTAATTTTTCCCATTTCACTCATGTTTTGCTCTTAAACCCTCTGTTAAATGCTTGCCTGTTGTTTCTTTTCGTGTCTGGAAAGCCTTGCTCTATTTACTCTTAATTGTAGGAGTGAAATCAAGATCTTTGTCTTTGCTTTTGAGTTGACATCCAGACATTTCAAGAAGAAGAAGTGTTCATCCTTGCTCCATTGCTGTGCCTGTTTCTGAGATATACAAATCCTCATCTCCCCTAGTTACTTCCTTATCTTTCTCCCCTTTCACACTCAGCCCTGGCTGCCTGCTACCCAAGCAGACACACCCATAATTGGCTTTTTCTAATCCAGACACACACCACTTCTATACTCATTTCACCTCTTCGTTATAACCAGTCTTATTTTTCTCCCTGCCAACATGACTGGCATTTCCCTCACCACAGCCTTCACACGTGCCTTCTTCTCCTTCCAGCGTGTGACTGCAACCCTCATGGCATCCAGACCCCGCAGTGCGACCGTACCACGGGGCAGTGCATCTGCAACGAAGGGGTGGAAGGGCCTCGCTGTGACAAGTGCTCCCGGGGCTACTCAGGCTTCTTCCCCGACTGCGTGCCGTGCCACCAGTGCTTCGCTCTCTGGGATGCGATCATCAGCGAGCTGGCTAATAAGACCCAGCAGTTCCTGGATAGGGCCAATGCCCTCAAAGTCACTGGAGTCACTGGCCCATACCAGCAGACACTCAACACCCTGGAGGAGAAGCTCGGTGAAATCAAAACCATCATCGCTCAAAATCCAGCTGCCGAGCCCCTGAAGAACATTGGGAATCTCTTCGAGGAAGCAGAGTGAGTGCCCTCACACTTACGTGGTAGCTAAGTCTGGCACGAGAAGGGGTCCTACTGCCAGCAAGGTGGCATCTCCTTGGGTGACTGATGTCCCCGTGCTGGGCTGAGGACTCCCCAGCTCCAGTCCTCCGGCTGGGCGAAGCGCGCTGCGGCTCCTTGTGCTGGTGGAGACCCTCGTCGTGCTCAGCGCTGGTGGTGACCACCCAGTGACCATCCCTCCCAGGAGCAGAATCCTGGCTGGGAAGGCGAGAGCAGCGCAGCTGCCGCGCTCTGCGCAAGGCTTGTCCTGCTCCCACTGCAGCTAATGACCAGAGAGCCACTCATGCCTGCCTTGCGCTCCCCCGGGGCAAAGGACAAACACTGCTATTATGTGAGAGAATGAAGAGGGGAGAGATTAAATTCCTGGATTTCCCTCTGTAGCTGATGAGTTGGAAGCTTGGGCTCCTTTCAGCACTGAGCGTGTGTGGGGGAAGCACCAGCTTTGTTAACAGATTGTTTCCATTTTTCTCAGGGTAGGAGCCTTGTATTTTGTTTTAGGGATAGGTTTGTGCTTTTGGAGATGGGGCCGTTTAACGTGGAGTAGGATTACAGATGCTTTCTAGCTCTGCGTGCAGCTGCTCAAGCTTGCTTGTGCATTGTAAAGGTGACTGCACAAAGCAAAGGAGTGAGGATTAAAGCAGAAATGTCTCAATTAGGGATATGCTTGTGCCCTGCAGCTCCCCTCCTCCAGCTGGAGAGCTGGGGGTTGCTGCTGCTGCTGTTTGGGCTCTGCGTGTATTGAGGGAGGGCAGAGCAGCTGAGGAGCTGCTTTTCCCTAACATATGTATACACTCATCTGGTTTTGTACTTTTCTGGCTGTGTAGCAGTACTGGGCTCTAGAGAACAGCTGGCAAACAGCAGGCTGCTGGACTACTGAGAGAGTTGTAAATTGGTCATAGACCTTAACTACTGCCTGATTCTTTCAGAATGAGGAAATGCTGGGTTTGGTGGCATCACCATGGATGGGAATAGCTTCCTATGCCCACTTCTGTTCCACAGCAATGTTGACGCGTAACATACCCTCGCTTTTCCTTTTAGGGTTATCCTGAAGCCTGCTCTGTGCCTCGCTGAGGCCATGCCGAGTGCTGAGGGTGGGTGGTTTTCCTTCATAGCCCTAGAGAAATGGCGGTGAGGAGGAATCTTTACAGACAAGTTAAAAGAATCCATTGTGTTAAAACTAAGGTTTTCCCTCCCCCCGCTTCCTGAAGTTCAGATCTGTCCCATGAGCTCGTAGTAATCAAAACTGCATTTGTAGCTGTGTGGGATGGGAAGCAAATTATGTATGGATCATAGTAGTGAACTCTGACCGATGCAGTTGCCATGGTACGAGAGCATTACACCAGTCTTCTGGAATCTGCCTCCAGTTAATCTTACACAAAGCAGCTGTTTTCTGAGCAACGTGGTGCTTTGAGTTTATAAACACGCTGTAGATTAAAAAGTAGTTTTGTATGATAAAAGAAACAAAACGGTATTCTAGGTAGGCATGTTGTTACAAATCACTTACAGCTCTGAGGGAGGACAGGTCCTGCCATGGGAGAAGCTCAGCACAGCCCGAGCCACTGCTCTTCAGTGAAGTGAAGCACCCAGGCTTATGACCCTGCCTCCTTCCTCTGTTGAGTCTTGTGCCTCTGTTTTACAGAAAGCTGACAGCAGATGTTACAGTTAAGATAGCTGACGTAGAAGAAAACCTGTCAGCCTTAGCAGCAAAGAGCAATAGCACAGACGCAGACCTGAGCATGCTGGAGGCAGATGCCAAAAGCCTAGACCGTGTCGTGAAAGAACTTGCAGAACAGCTAGAGTTCATCAAGATCTCTGATGTTCGGGGTAAGTGTCACAAGGAGGGGGTAGAAAGCAGTGGGGTGGCCAAAGATTTAATTAGTGCATGGTTTTAAAAACCAGGTTAATCTTCAAACTTGTAATAAACCACAGCTCCTGGGAGGGCAGCTGCTTTCTGTGCTTTAGCAGAGTTGCTGATGCAGTAGGAGTTTTCTTGTGCCCCCTTAGCCCCTCTCTCTTCTGCACATTGTAAAGCTGTCTGAAGTTCTCAGGGCACAGAATAGCTTTAAAGTTTCTTGACTAATACATTTTAGATGAGAAACAACAGCTGGAAGTGCAGTGGATTTCAGAATACATCTGGACATCTCCTTCGCTCTCCTCAGTCTCTTAAATTGATCTTTCTGGTTGAAAAAACAACCTGGGTCTTTGTGCCTAAGAGCACACCAAGAGCCAGACAAGCCTTGCGTGCCCACTGGCACACTAGAATATGCCAAGAATCAAAATTTGCCGAAGAAAGAGGAATCATATCACCAGATTCTTTGGATATTTTGAAAGCTGACTTCATTCCACCTTGAAACAGAGCATTTTAATTTTTTTAATTTCCTACTTTGCAGGAAGCCACATTGTTTCCAGTGAATGTGTGTTTTCGTAGAGCAAGGCAAGTAGAGTGTAGGACAGGAGTGTCCCTGGCTTTTGGCATTCTGCTGAGGAAAACTGCCTTTGAGGTACAGAGTGTACCCACTCAAGGCCTCTCCAGGAGTTGTCCAAAACTAACAGTTCCATAAATCAGCATCTTTCATCAAGCAGTTGTTTCTTGGGAATGCTCTGACCAGTTTCCAAGCAGTGACTCCATAAGCCAGACATCCCAGGGCACGCAACGAGAGCTAAAGAGATAAATGAATCCTTAGAAAAGAGACTGTTGCCTGATAAACCTAAAAGGCTGGATCTTCTTTTGCCTTCAGGGCAAGCAGAATTCAGTGACTAGGGTCAGAGAAAGGCTTAGCTTCAAAATCCATCAAACTTGACACATTGTCAACCAAGCAAAAAAAATTAACTTTTTATTCCCCCCCCGTCCCCCCACAACAGGTCAAATGATGTCATCCTTTCAGTTGCCCTGAATACAGCTGAAAAACCTAGTGTTTCATTTAACTCGATACTCGTATCGCTAACCCTGATGTGTCATCTGCCAGCCTCCGTAATAGAAATTACTTTGGGATACTTAACACGTTTCTGAGTAGCTCCATCTGATTTCGGCAGGGGCCTTGGATAGTATCACCAAGTATTTCCAGATGTCCCTGGAGGCAGAGGAGAGGGTCAACGCCTCCACTGTTCACCCCGATAGCGCCGTGGAGCTGTCGGCACGAACGCGGCAAGAAGTAGAAGACTTAATCAATGAGAAGGAGGCCCAGTTCAAGGCTAAACAAGAGGAGCAGTCGCGCCTTCTGGATGAACTCGCAGGCAAGCTGCAGAGCCTGGATCTCTCTGAAGTGGCTGAGAAGGTACGTGGCTGAGAATGGCCGGTATACAACCTGTAGCAAAAATAAAGTCGGGTTTGTGAAGAAGCAGTGGGTGGGGAGGAACTGCTTAGGGCTTCGCAGTGTGAAATACACATTTTTTTTTAGGAAAAAGTGCACATTTCTTGGATGATGGGGTATTTTGTGGGCTAGAACAGGGCTATTTAATCAGTGGACTCTCAGACCCACAGGCTTTTAGGCACCAGCCCTTCATGTTGGGCTCCCTCCTACCCTTGCCAGCCCCAAGAGCACACCAGCCTTTTCATCACCCCTGCTCTAACCTGAAGCCCTTTGCCACGGATAGAGCTCCCACGTGCAGAAGAGCATAGCGAATCTGCTGGATCGAGAGCGATCCTCTGAAGCCTGTCCTCAGTTCCCAGGCTCGCTTGCTCTGTGTTTCTCTCCTTTTTTGCAGCTCTGTATGAGAGAACAGGCCGTGCCTGAGCAGCGCTCATGCTCGGACCACCAGGTTGCCCTCCTCAGTCGGCATCCCGGCGCTCCCGGCCTCGTGCTTGAGACAAAGCAGAACTTACAAGGAGCTGGAGTCAAAAGGGCATTTTCCCTGTTGAAGCTGCCTGCTCATCTGTAAATATGATCAAGGGTGGCTTTTTCTTGGGAGAGGCTGGGTGTTCCCTCCGTTTTGCTTTGAAGTCAGGCAGCTGCAGTCAGAGAACAATCTGGCATGAAGGCGGGTGATGGGGGGACTGCTCATTAACTCCCCTGGGCAAGCCAGGCCTGTGTTCAGAGGACGAGTTCTTCACAGGCTGAATTGTCCCGTGTCCTTTATAACTACAGTCATCCCTCTGAACGGCCTCAGTCCTCCTTTTTCTTTCTCAGGAGTCAAAAAAGAGGCATCTTTTTGTTTAGTTTTCCCTTCCCCTGCATTCCACCCTGCCTCTTCGTGAGGACTGAAAATCATGGGTAGATGGTTATCAAGGCCATAAACACTGAGCTGCTCGGAGGTGTAATCACGGGACACCAAAAAAAAAACCTTTTTGCTTTCTAGCTACTGCTGGGTTGCGTGCCAAACAGGTAAGAGGGACTCATTTGCGCTTCACAGGAGACAGCTGCAGGTAACTTGGCACAGCCCCTGTGTTTTCACAGAGAGGTTTTTATAGCTGTAAAGTATGTTGGTTAGTGACTACCATTTGGCAAAAGGGGTGGGATGGAAAGGCAAAGGAACCTTGAAAGAATGGGGAATTTTCAAATTTTCCCCCTGGCTGAAAGAACTCCTGAGTGATTTCATTGGCCAAACAATTCACCAAATAGTGGATAATTCTCTGGTTGAAATAATTTAAGAAGGGGAAAAAAAAAAGTCTACCCTGAAATTTGCTATGGGAGCACATCCTTGACAACAATACACAAACTGGAATGTTTTCTGGAAAGATGAAATCAGAGCAAGCATTTAGTAGGAGGGAATGGGACAGTCGTTTTAGGGAGATGAAAAAAGGTTTCCTGATCAGCTTCGAGCATTTAATTTCTAGAGCATAGGGCAAGATACTATGCACAAAACACTTTCTTCTTTATAAATTAGCTCCTTGGGATGGTGAGTTTTTCCTCCAACAGCAGCAAAGACCTATTGCAAACAAAAGGCATACAGACAGCAGTAGCTTCCGGCTTGAAGCTAAAATTTAAATGCCGCTTTCCAGGGGAAGGTGGTGTAAAGGAAACAGACGGTGAAGACACAGCAATGCTTTCCTCATAACCTCCCCAGCTATTTCAGCTTCAGGGAGCTGTTTGTGACTGACGTAAAGGCATGGGGTGGGGGCACAGATGGAAGATCAGTTGTGCTGGTAGGGCCCTGCAGCAGGAACCACCCCCAGCTTGCAGCTCTGTTCCTTCCCTGCAGTACTCACGATGCTACTGCAAGGGGCAGAAACAACGTCACGAAGAGCAGTGTCCGACTCCATCCCCCTCGCAGCTCAGCAATGGAAATAAAGCTATGACCATATCCCTTGTCTAATGTGTCTCTGCAGACATGTGGCACTCCTGTGGGAGCCTCCTGCGCTGAGTCCGAGTGTGGCGGTTTAAACTGTCGAACAGATGACGGAAAAAAGAAGTGTGGAGGACCTGGCTGCGACGGGCTGGTGACTGTAGCTCACAATGCCTGGCAGAAAGCCATGGATTTTGACAGAGACATCCTCAGTGCATTAGCAGAAGTTGAACAACTCTCCAGAATGGTAATATGCCAAATCAATTGTTAGATATTTAGAAAAAAAAAAAGAAAATAAATAATCTTTTAGTTGTAAGACAGCTTTAGACACTAATTGACAAAGTATGTGCCTGGCATACTTCAAAATATTTCTTTTCCGTTGCGTAACTTCATCATGCTTGTAAAGATCCTCAGAAAGGAAGGTTGCTAAAGTGAAGCTTCTTGGATAACTCTAAACATTAGCCCGAATTGTTTAAACTAGCATTGGTGGTATGGATCGTAGCCAGCTTTTAGAAGTGTTCTGTGAGTTTTATGAGAAAGAGCATTTCTCATTACTATTACCGCTGTCTCCAACTGAATTTTTGTTTTAAAACAGGCCTAAAGCATAAGCTCAAGCCTTCCATCTTCTCTCTAGGTTTCTGAGGCAAAACAGAGAGCTGATGAAGCAAAACAAAATGCACAAGCAGTTTTACTCAAAACCAATGCTACAAAAGAACAAGTGGACAGAAGCAATGAAGATCTGAGGAATCTTATTAAACAGATCAGAGACTTCCTAATGCGTAAAAACCTTACATTTATCTTCTATTTTAATTCAGGGTTTGTGACAACTTAGCTTTAGCTCTGGCTCATCCTCTATGGGGGTAATGCAATAGTTGTGTCTTCTCCCCACCCCCCTTTCAGCCAGCCTTAGTGTGGATGATGAAATCTGGAAATGAGAGAAAACCAAGACAATAGGAAAACGAGAGAGAACCGTGACATGTTCTTGTGTTCATTTCAGCTGAGGCTGTTGTACTGCTGTAGTTTGCCAAGTGTGTTCATAAGTTCTGGCTAGAAAGACAAAGTATTGTTGAAGGGGAGGGAAGTCAGAAAGGGTGAGTTTATTTCTCTGTAAGAAAGCAACTAAAGGTTAAATGAGGGCCTTGTTCGCTCGCAAGCGGCGGCACGGCAAACCCGTTCCTTCCCTGTTTGCACAAGGCTGAGTATACTGTTAGCACAAATACAGTTACGTGCAGCTGTTGGCTTCATTTCCTGTGGGCTCACGTCTCCCCTTTCCAGCCTCAGCCTGGTGTAGCTAATCACCGAAATCTTCAAATCGCTTCCAAGAGGCTTCGCCAGCAGAGCCTACGCGCCTGCTGGCCTCTCCCGCGGCAGGAGGTTCAACCTAAGGAAGCAGTTTTAACACCTTGATTTTCTGCAAGTCTGGGGGAGGAAGTTTTCCCATTATTTGGTTTCTTGAGGGAGCAGCTAGACAAGAATTTGAGTACTGAGAGTTGGGAAGGAAGCTTTTACTCAGCCTTTGTCACTTGTTTCCATCTACTAGAAGACAGCGCTGACCTCGATAGCATCGAGGCAGTGGCTAACGAAGTGCTGAACATGGAGATGCCAAGCACACCCCAGCAGCTTCAAGCCCTGACGGAAGATATTCGTGAGCGTGTAGAAAGCCTTTCTGATGTTGAGATCATTCTGCAGCAGAGTGCCGGAGACATTGCCAGAGCAGAAATGCTACTGGAGGAAGCGAAAAGAGCAAGGTATGCAACCCTGTTCTGTACGAGCTGTTTTCCGTCACCCAGAGCTTGAATGAGACTTTCATTGCATTTTATCAGAAAATAGTTTAACTTCCCCTGATGTAGACTCTCGTTCCTTCACTAAAGGGCAAAAATAGCCCTTTGCAGTGTATGACTAGTTCTTCCAGTTCAAAAGGAAAAGCATTTTTAGTGTTAACATAATTTTGCTCCACAGCAAGGGTGCAACAGATGTTAAAGTCACGGCAGACATGGTGAAAGCAGCACTGGAAGAAGCTGAAAAAGCTCAAAATGCAGCTGAAAAAGCCATCAAACAAGCTGATGAAGACATTAAAGGAACTCAAGACCTGCTGACCTCAGTGAGTTCTTTACAAGTATTTTTTAAGATATAGAAACAGCATAAAGGCTGATACTTAGAAACTGATGTAAGCCTGTCCAGGGGAGGCTCTCAGGTACTGCAAATCGAGGACTGCACTTAACATGAATCTAAACCTCTCTTGTCTTCACATCAGGTTTTGAGGTAGTGGGACAGATGCCAGGGGATCATTTGCTCTTAAAAAATGGAATAAACCAGCTGCCCCAAAAAGACACTTCTCACCCCATATGCTGCACTGTTAAAGTTAGAGGGCTACACTCCTGCTCATTTTGCACAGCAGGTGTGCCAGGATCCCTGGAAGGTCCCACCTGTCACCCACACGGGTGGTGTAGCCATGCTCTCTCTGTCACCTGCCACTGCAGCACGGGACTACAACAAATTAATGCTGATCAAAGTGACAGTTCCTGTAGTCTGACCAATAATGCATTTTCAGACTTCACCTCAAAGGCTTCACAAGACCGTAGTGCTAGCCAGACCCATGTAGCTTGGCCTGCTTAGAAGAGCTGCAGCTTCACAAGTCCCATATGATATGATGGAGTCAAATGTCTGGAGTTGTGCCTGTGGATTAGGCAACTCCTGCATGTGTAATGCAATCAAGTATGTGTTAACCATGTTCCTTAATGCCTGTGCAACCCCTTCTTCAAGCACTGAGCTCTTGCACCCTGCCTTCAGTTAGCCATTTGTAGCAAAACTAATACAGCTTTTTTATATCAAATGTATGGACACAAACTAATGAGTTGATCAGAGCTTATTCAGAAGGTTGAGTATTCCATTCACTTTCGAAAGTGTAACTCTCATCCCTCTCGCTGTTAGATTCAGTCTGAAAACGCAGCATCTGAAGAAACGTTGAACAACGCTACCTTACGTCTGTTTGAGCTGGAGAGGAGTGTTGAAGAGCTTAAACAAAAGGCTGCTACAAATTCAGAGAACATGGACAATATAGAATCAAAAATCGTTACTGCAAAACAAAATGCTGAAGAAGTTAAAAAGGTGAGAAGCTCAGGAAAGCAGCTAAGGGAAAGCCAACAAAACTCTCACCCCAGGTTTGGTTAAAGAAACATTAGTAATACATGTGATCCATTTAATTTACTGGTCAAGTACTGGGGACAAAAAAAAAAAAAAGCGCACTTAATGCACTTGTCAGAGGTGGCTGCTTTTTACTTACTTTGGTACCAGACAGAGAAAGAAGCATTGGGAAGTTTTCAGGTCCTAAAGTAGCTGCAGGAACACTGTCAGCCTTTCACAGATTCATTTCAGTCCCTCAGCTTTAGAGTCTGCCACAGGTGAACTGGTCATGTTTCCCCCCCGGCCTCGTACAGAGTATTTATGGTTCTATGACAATGACAGATTCAGGACAAACAACGCAGAATTTGGCATACACAGAATCAAGCAACAAGAAAAACTTAATAGAAACCCAATGTCATTTCTAAATACCAGAGATGCAATATTTGCTCTGTGACCGTGCGGTTTTGCTCCCACTGTCTGCTGCACACCTTTGTAATAGCAAAAGAATGCTCAGGAACAATAACAAAACAATTGACAAATCTGACAAAGGAAGTCTCATTGCTCCAATGTGTTGTCTATAGTTAGCCCACCAGTCCCCAGAGAGGCGTTTTTCTGTCAGGAGAGACATATTATCCACCAAATCAATAATTTCCCAACACTAAGTAGTGTTTCAGGTGACTGTCAAGTAAACAGAAGAGGCTTCTGGTACTGCTGCAGCTTAGCTTTTTGGTTGAATTCAGTTGGGTCATAGAACTTCTTAATCTTAACCTCATGGAGAAAAATGCAGCTGGGAAACCAGTCTCATGACTTCTCCAGCACCTTCACCTACACAAACTAGACAGCTCTTTTGTGTGCTGAAAGGGTGACAAGGGTACCCCTCCCCAAATACAGGTGTTCATCCAAAAGCAGCACCAGTTCCTTACCACAGGTAAGTAGTACGGCTGTACTAGGGGTCACAGCTCCTATTAGTGGTGGAACTGTGTGACTGAGTCTCGTAAACCCTTGCCAAATGTTGGTATTAAAGCCGTAAAACAGCCACAGATCTGCAAAACGGCAACCGACGTGTCTTCACCCCAACTCCTAAAGGTTTGAATATTAAGTAGAAAATACCTCGAACACTGTTTCTGCTTTTGTTAACTGAGGTAACAGCGTAGCCTCTGCTTACACCCGGATTAGGAAAGTTGGAGGGAGGAAATGTAAAGCTAAAGGAAAGGCGAACCCACTGTGTTGGCTTTTGAACGAGCTCCACCTTGTGCTTGAATCTGGAACAACAGGTCCTCAACACCGAGCTGAACGACAAGTACAAAACGGTGGAAGATCTCATTGCCAAGAAGACGGAAGAGTCGGCGGATGCCAGGAGGAAAGCCGGCATGCTGCAAGAGGAAGCTAAAGCCTTGTTGGCTCAAGCCAACAGCAAACTGCAGCTGCTCAAAGGTAAGGCTGTGCTGGGATGTAACTCATCAGCTTAGAATACGAAGCAGAATACTACTCATGAGCAGTAGCGGAAACGAATGGAAGTTAAATCTTTGTTATGGAGGTTTGGTCCCTTTTCCATATTCTTACGGACACAACAGTCTTTTCAATGAAAAATTTCTGTAAAAAAGCTGAAACGAGACAAAATCTACTGGTGTGGCACCTCTCGCTGCTTCAAGAACCATAGCAGGTAAGGAACAACACTGCTAGGCTTAGGATGAGGACTAACCTTTTCAAGCAAGACCACCAAACCTGACTGAAACAGGAGTGCGTGATCTGCTCATAGCTTCCAGGAAGGAAGCTCAGTTTTCCTTCTGTTTTTGCCCAGCCAGACGGTCATTCTTCCCTGTATCTGCTCTGCAGCCACAATGACTCACTGAACAGGCTTAACGCTAAAAAACCACAGTATTTTGCTGTTCTGTAAAAGCCACCAGAGAGCAGAGAGTGACAGGTACTTTCAGCATGAGTCTTAAGTGTACAATTGCATTTCCACTTACGGAAAATCTCTTCCTTATTGCTTTATGTCCTAATGTTAAGGAAACAAAAAGGTGCCATTCCAGCCTTTGCTTTTATTTTTTTTTCCTAATCAGACTCTCTTCCACAAGAAAAATAAATTTGAATAGTAGTTTATCATTAACTATAATGGCTTACATTTCATTGCATTGAAAGGCCCCTAATTAAGCTGGTTTTTTTCCTTCCTTTGCTGACAGACTTGGAAAATACCTACGAAAACAATCAAAAAGTTCTAGAAGACAAAGCCAAGCAGTTGGTGGAGCTGGAAGAGACAGTTCGCTCCCTCTTGCAGACAATCAGCCAGAAGGTTGCCGTTTATAGCACTTGCTTATAAATGGGAGAAGGAAACGCTTGCGTTCCGATGGGTTTTACAAGTATTACACTAGTTCTTTTTGACATTACACTAAAACCTGATGAAGTGAGCAGGTTTTACATTGACTTTCAGGTCACAGAACCAAAGACAAGTAACTTTTTGATGTTGAAAATAAACAGTACTTTTGTATCACTGTATGTACCCAGTATGAGTCATTAAGTTCTTGCCTATTTTCAGTAGCTGACAGTTAATCCTTTAGCAGGTCTTGTTTTTAAACTGATTAGAGATCTAATAAAATCTTGCCTCCGATTACATAATTCTAAGCAAGGGCTCCAATTACTACAAAATACAGGATGGTCACTCAGAACAAACCCACAAGTGAGTAAAGAAATATTGTCCTCGTGTGGTTAGCTAGCATTTACACCACAGCACTCCAAAAGGATTGTTTATCCTCTCTGTTAATATTCATTTAGGCTTAACATCGGTTTCACAGTCACCGATTATAAAACACTTGATACGTGAAGATTAACCAGATGGCAGCACTGAGGGGGTGACTGTGATTCACATTTCAAACACCAAATTTACGTGACACGCCAAGTGTGGAGGATCAAGCCTCAGCTGCGGAAGTTCACAGGGCACTTGGTGTGAATCGATGAAGGAGCCATCCGCAGACAGCGCTCACTTCTAAGAATGGCTCGCGCTGCGGGAAACACAAGACTTTTTTCCAAAGTGCAAGAGTGACATCCAGTTCACCACACTCAAGCTCAAAGTTACCTGTAGAACGGCGCATCCTCGGGCAGTTGTACAGCACGGGACAAAACGATTTACCACACTCGGATACGCAGAGGAGCATCCAAAACTGCAACGTGCATTTCCAAGTTCTGACTGCTGACGCTGACCTGAGGAACACATTTGCACATACACTTTGATCAGCACCTCACCTAACCCTGACGTCACTGACAGTCAGTCAGGACAAGTACGGCAGAACTTAATGCCACCTAAGCAAACTGAAGAGCAGCGTGTTTAAACAATTACCCCCACGCTCCATAAGCTACAAATGCTACAGCAAAAAATCCTTTGCAGGAGCTCATGACCACACCAGCATCATAAGCCATTTCACTGCCAGTACGCTTACCAGCTGTTCAAAACAGAAGTTGCATACTCTGCAGCCAGATTCAGACTTAACTGCCACCAGAACATTGGCAGCTGGCTCAGCACATCGTAATTTTACCTTTACGAAGACTTTTGTACTCCTAACTAGAGCCACAACAGGGGTAGAAGTAACAACACAGGGACAGATTGTAAAGTCTTGAATTTTATTTTCAAATGTCTGGGAAACTGTAGTCTCCGGTATAATTTTAGTAGTGTTCTTCAAGTTTCCCTGACTTCCCCAACTTCATTTAAACACAAATAGAACAAAATATAAGAATTTGTAACTGATGAACATCAAGGCTGAAATGCCACAAGTATTGAGGGAGTGAACACAAAGCTGTTTCTGAAAGAGCAGGGTTCCTAGCAAGAACTTGCAGAGCACAAGATTAACACTTAATAGTTTTTACCTGCAGCAGGTAGAATTGATTCTGAAATGCCCAGATCTTGTGGAAGAATCAGATTTTTCTTCCCTCACTATTGTCTTACCTTTTGCTTTCCCTTTAGCAACCTCTTACTAACACATGAAAGCAAATCCACATTCACTTAACCCATCATATCCACAAATCAGGTTCTCATATCCTGTTCATAACCTTAATCAGCTGTGATGGTTTAACCCCATCTAAAATTAAGAGGAGTTAAAAAAAAGTCAAATCAAAATGAAGAGCAGTATCACTGGTGTTTGTTGACTGTCCAATAGCTTAATAAAATGGTAACATCGGCATGTATTTCCATCACTCAGTATGGATAATGGACCAACACTTGAATAAGAAGCTCTAAAGAAGGGCAGAAGGATATAGGCCTATTGCCCATACACAACACCAAGGAGCTTTTGCACCCTTTTCTGAATGTACATTTCTCAACCCATTGGCATAATGGAAAAGGACATGCACCACACTAGCAGAGACTAAGGTTTTCTTTAAGACAGAATAGCCTAACAAAAACAAGCAAGCAAACAAACAAAGGCACTCTGCAAAGCAAAACTTAAACAGAGCAAGTGAAATTGGGCACATTCCATACAGGATAGAATACACACATTAGGGATCTTCCAAAGATGCCATTTGTTCGTGAGTTTCTTCATGTATTTGACAATCTAGACACCAAAGGGAGTAACAGAGCTGATGAGCAAACAAAACCCAAGACCCTCCAGCCATGTTAAATATTTATTAAGCTCTCTTGCTACAGAAGAGACAGAGAGCACAAAATAGAAAACAGAAAAGGAGAAGAAAGCATGTCTTAATCATGTGGACGGCTGACACTGCAGCCCTTACGTGTGGGAGGTGCAGAATAACCCTCATGTCATAGCACTTCACAGCAAGCACTGCTTCTGTACCTGGTTTCAGCCATTCAAATTTAAGAGAGTTGAACAATGGAAGCTTTAAAAACAAAAAAAGCTTAAGTAGAAGTACATTATTATCTTTAATCTTTCGCTTCCCCACCAGTGCTCAATTTTTCCCAATGAGTTTTCAATATGAAAACATGATGTGGAGAAACACACACACACAGAGCAATTTTCTCTTTAAAAAGTCAATATAGTTTTAATTGATCGATGCGAGCCCCTCCTCCCAACATCCTAACACTACTAGGTCGAAACAAGTTTTGGTATTTGTATGCAAGAAGTACGTTAAACACTAACGTTAATCCTTTCAGAAGGAAACACATTCTTGTGCGGAAGTGACAGTGGCATTCTTAAGTGCCAGTGGCGTTGTAAGTGCCAGCATTCAGCTGGTTTAGTCTATCACTACTTTAGGTAAGAAAACACCAGGTGTGCTGGACACGTGCTGAACTTTTGACCAGCACACTCAGTAATCCCATGCAGCAGCCAGAGGTCTGGTTTTGAAAAAGACAAAGAGTTCTGTCAGGCTGGTTTTCTGCAACATTCATCACGTAAATAGACATGTAATTTTAAGTATTTAATTTACAGAGATTGAATAAATCCACTTGTTCCAAACTCTACTTGTTTAAATATTTGATGTTTGAAATGAAGAGATTCCCTTAATTCAGTTCTAAAATCCTCAGATACAGCTTCCGTAAGGGCCGACCGTCCTTTTTTCAGAGACATACTACACACATACAAAGATCTGTTCTTTCTTTTCAGAAGTTGATAGCTTTGCCAAAAGATGCTGCTAGGTTTGCTTCCCGGAAGGCTTCTGACACTGTCTGTGGAGCGAAAACACAAAAAGGCACAAGTCACTAATAGTTACATGTAATTAGAGCATGTTTTGTGTAACCCTGGTGTTCAACACTCCATTTAGAAAAAACCCAAAACTTACTGGATGGGCATGGCAAACTCTGGCTACATCTTCACAGGACGCTCCGTATTCCATAGCAAGGGCAGCTTCATTAACCATTTCACCCGCACCCTGTAATTTAACGGTAGTTGTAATTAGCACAAATCTTTAGGCAGTTGTCCAGGTTCTCCTGGAACAGCTTGTAAATAAGCACCTTTTGCTAAAAAGAAAATTAAAATGTTAAAATAAAACTAGCACTTCAGCTGTGTTCTAATCTAACTACCTCATCTATTTGGTGATTGTGCTAAAACATAATTCTTAATAAAAGTATTTCTTCCCTCATCACTGAGAGTTGTGTAAAATCTGGGCATTCTTCCACTACAAGGTACTGGTCAGATAACAGCCTCATTCTCAAAACTACAGCGTAAACTATCACTGCTGAAACCTCCTCGGAACTGCAGTGCCCTCCTGGAATGTTAAACAGATAACCAGATAAACAAAGGTACGTTACTACATCCACACCCTCGTTTTTATTTGTTGTATTTATGTGTGTTTACTCAGGGAACATTGCTTTGAGGAGTCAAAAACTGAAATCTCCCGTCTCATTTTTAGCATCCAGATCACAACCATTAGCTTCTCCCCCAGTTCTTTCTCAGGGGAGAAGATTAGTCTGCTTCGCACCAATAAACCCAAGTTGTGCCTCCTTTAAAAGCACACTGATTTTTAAGCGACTGGCATTGTGAGATAAAATAACTAGCATAAAGTCTTATTTTGTACTCCTATCAGAAATTATGAGAATCAGATTCAGAAACGCTATCCACTAGTGTTGACAGTACATCCATTTGTAGGAATAAAATTTTCTTTCCAGAAAAATGCAGAGCAGTTTTAGTGTTTCTCTTAAAGAAAGCTCTGTACAAGGATGAAAGAAAGTATTTCTGCATACATCTTTAGGGGGGAAAAAAATTTTTAAAAAATAAAATTAAAGCTAAGAAACAAAACAGAGGGAGATTAGGGTCTAACTTGGGAATAAGTGGGACAGCAGAAAATTATACTTTTCCCAAACAGTAGTTTCTGATTTCTCATCTTTACGAAGAGCTTTCAATCAAAGTTCTGTAAGTTACAGATGCCAGATTTGGTGACTGCAGCATAGGGTTACCAGTCTGAAGTTCGGGTGGGGACGGGGACACCACCCATGAAAAAGCTGCAGCCTGTTCAGCTCCTTGAACTTTCAGAACTTCTGTCAATGATTTCTGCTGTTCTCTTGAATAGTTGGCAGTATTCATTAAAATAAAAGTATTAATAATAAAACAAAAAAAATCCACTCAGAGAAACAAATTAACCCTACCAATTCTAGGGGGGAAAAAAAAAAGAAATGCTGAGTCTAACACCAAAGCAACAGAAGTGGGAAGGACTGCAGGGTTGCAGAACAGTAAATAAAAATGAAAATAAAAAAAGTCATCCATATTTTTGTAAGTAGCCCATCTCCTAACTTCACAACTACTTTGCAACTGTGCAACACTAAATAAAAGACCCTTACAAAGCCACGACAGCAGCACAATTTTCAGTACTTACTGAGCCTAAAATATGTGCGCCCAACATCCTGTCTGTTGATTTCTGGCTCAGTATCTTCACCATGCCATCGGTGTCAGCATTTGTCTTTGCTCTACTGTTCGCAGCAAATGGAAATTTCCCAACTTTGTATTCTACACCCTATAAACCAGATATGTGTTACTGAATCAACAACCCACAAGACTAACGTAACCACACAGACAAGTTGGTGAACACAAGCACAGAAGCAACATAGAAATAAAAGACATGTAGGACATGCAGAGGAGCGCATAAGCACGACCACCAAAGGGGGTACTCAAAAAAGATTAGTTAGCAAATCAACAATATTGACTTCACAGAATAGAGGTCATTAAATAGAACTGTGATCCTTGGGAGAGTGGTATGCAGGAGGGAATCATTCAATCATACACCCTAAACGATAAATTCAGATGCAGAAATCTCGGAAGAAGCTGCTAGATGAACCGTCAGACAATTAAACCACGCCCAGGGTGGAAAACCAGCTTTGCCCAAGAAGAAAACAAGCAGTACCTCTTCTTTCAGCTGTTCTTCGGATTTACCAACCCAGGCCACTTCGGGGTGTGTGTATATCACCGAGGGCACGCAGTTGTAGTCGATGTGAACCGCTTGTAGTCGATGTGACCCGCCCCCCCAGCCATGCCTTCGACACAGATGATGCCTTCATCCTCAGCTTTGTGGGCCAGCATAGGTCCAGCAACTACATCACCAATAGCATAGATGCTATCAGACCAACGAAACAGAATGAGACACAGTTGAAAGACATCCTAGCACACCTAGGCTACCTTATATAAGAGTCAGTTTGAAACAGGTTACTGAAAACTCAAAGCAAATCAGATTAAAATACTCAATTTCAGAACAAAGAACAAGTAGAAAAGAGTTGTTTCCACAGAATGAGCACACTTCAAGAAGGACTAGTGACAAGAAACACACAGAACAACTTAAATTACAAAAACCTCAAAGGTTGACTAGAAATCTTTAGTCCCTTAAATAAACAGAAATCCCGAGTTTTACTTTCAGAAAAGAAACCTATATTCTGTGTGATTTAAAAAAAAAAAAAGTGCTTTAGTAGGTTAAACTTTTTTAAACAAGGGTTCTGCTTAAATAAAATAAAATTGTTGTACTCACTTTGGAATTTTGGTTTGGAATCTGTTATTGACTGGGATTCTTCCCCTCTTATCAAGCTCAATTCCAATCTCCTCAAGACCTAGATTTTTGGTAAAAGGACGTCTGCCGATGCAAACTAGGAGCACATCACAAGTTATTACTTCTGCCTTGCCACCAGCAGCAGCTTCAAGACTACAGAAAAAGAATCAACAAAAATGCAAAGCTGTGAACTTACAGCCATGTATTTCTCGCAGTAGTAACTACCACAATCCAGACAGTGGCCTGCTGGTTGGATCTGGCACCCAAAGCATTTGCATGCAGCGCGCCTCACGCTGCTTCCTTGCAACAGTTGAGGAGTAGAAGAGGGAGGAAGGGATAGTAACTCTTAACTCCATTTGCTAACAACTCTTAGATACAGAAACTGAGGGTACATCCACCATAACGACAGGATCAAACCTGCTTTGTACAGCAAATTAATTGGTGCCGGGTACTCGACATTCAAACTCTACATGTTTGGGGATGGAGCAGGTCCCTGTATTCTGAGCAAGCTTTCTTCTGGCTCAAGAACCAACCAGCTGTTAGCAGCTGCCCTGCATCAGGCCCATCCCTCAAGCGCATCTCTGCGTTTCATCGTACCCATAACAAATTCAGCTCACGTGCTCCAAGAGTGCAAGAACCAAAGCACGGTGAGGGGTCAGTAGGACCAGTAGGTGTGGAAACGCACACCTGAACCAAAATGAAACTCCAAGTGGAGAAGGAGACTACATGAGATCCATCAGCCCCAGTGGGGTACATGCTGAAGCCTAAATCTAACACCTTCACAATGGTGGAGGACAGACTACCCTGAGGTACAGCGATACAGCACATACAAGACAAAATATTAAGATGCCATTTTTTATTTTTGGGAAGTAACATTAAGCATTTTCTTCAAACTCAAAATTATAGTTTCTGCACAGAGCATACATTACCAAGAAAAAACAAAACAACAAAAGTGGTGTGTATGTATGGACTTTTACAAGGCAAATTTGCTTTATATGTTTCTGTATTAGCAGTGCATCTATCATCAAAGTGCTTGAGTGTATCCATTAAAAGACGCTCTAGGGTAACTTAATTTATTTCTGCTCAAAAACTAATAAAATCTCTCCCACACTCATACTGAGACAAGAGGAGGTACGGACAAAATAACCCTTCTAGTAAGCAGACAAGAATTAATGGCTTGAAAATTACAATCATGATATTTATGTTTATTATAGTAGAAGCAAAGATGTTGCGTGAAGAGAATGATTTAAAGTTCTATTACTGATCTCATCATAACACTGGTTTTATACCAGCATGCCTTCGACTCCAGTCAATGGAACCTCTCCTGTATAAGCAATCTAGGAATAAATCCAAAATTATGAGCTCTGTAAGTTACAATACAAGATAAAAATAAAATTTCATTAATAAATTAAATTTCATCCTAACTCCACTTTTTCCTGTTTAAAATAATAGTATCAGACTGTATTTTTCAATAGGTTTGATGGATTGGGAAGAAGAATATAAATAGCATTCCTTCAGTTTTATGTTAAACACTTACGCTACATCAATTTTTCCGTCCGGTTTCTTGGTAGCACCAGTAACTTTGGTGTTCAGTTTAAATTTAAATCCCTGTTTCTGAAGAATGCGTTGGAAGTTTTTAGAGATCTCCATGTCAATTCCCATTCCACCAACGTGACCCATGAACTCAACAGCTGTCACATCTGCACCAAGGCGCTGCCAAACTGAACCCTGCGGTCACAACAACAGAGGTGAACAGTTTTTGAAAAGCAAACTTCAGATTTAATGACTCTAGTATTTACCAGTGGAAATTTTTCAAAAGAAGAGGACACACATAACAGTAAACTGATCAGTTTTTACAAATGTTACAGTATAAAAGAAAGCAAGTTGAGCTTTCTCCAGCCCTCCCACAAAAAAAGGATTTATCAGCGCTTGTTTCGTACCTTAAGTCTCAATGATAGAATTTAAAGAATTAAGCTTTTAAAGAAATAACTAACAAAATAATTAAGTATAAATTAGGTATGTTTCATGTAACAGGTATAGAAAAATTCACCAGAATTTAGCTCAGAAAACCCAAAGGAAATCACTTGTGGTATTCTAATACTACTATTTATTTAATCAAAACTATATCACATTCAGGAAATTTTATGCAATAAAATGGCACCACTGCTGTTACTGTATGTATTTATAACCGATCATAAACAGCACCAACAAAATCCATATTTACCTGCAGTTACCCACACCCACCAAGCACAGTATTTCACTTCGCTTACTCTCCCTGCTTAATGGTTAGCGGGCAAAGCAACCACAAAGCACACGTGCAGATTTTCAAGAAGTTGCAAGACCAACAGATAGAGATTCTTTTTGAACGAGGCAAAAGGACTCAGAGCAAGATGAGCTACAAAGTCTTTGCTCCTTTGGTTGTTAGATAGAAGACATACAATCACACTGCTTAAAAATTTCTTGGGATTAACTGCTACAAGCAAGAATTTATTCTGGCTTAAAATCAACTTCCCTTAAAATAAAAGGAAGTTCTCTCATCTATACACAGAGCAGGGAGAAACCTCAGCGAAAGTTATTTCCCCCCACCGCCCTACCCCTCTGTATGAGGCCCTGCAAGTTCCTCTCCCATTTCTCTGCTTGGCTAACCAGCTGCAAGGGTAGTGATCCTACACTCATCCCAGCTTTTCTGGTAGGAAAGGGAGCTAACGGGCTACAAAGTCTAAGGAAATCACAGCAACACAGTCAAATATAAGAGAAAAAATAACATCTGTTCCTTTACAAAGAACAAGTGGCTTAAATATCCTCTCACCAGTTCCACACCAATGACTCCTGCGCCAATAACAACCATCTTTTCAGGAACTTTTTTCAGTGACAGCGCCCCAGTGGACGACACGATACTGTCTTCATCAATCTAATGGCAGAGAAATCCCCAAAAGAAGTTTACAATCTCTTTCACACGTTGTATGTAAAACACACAGCAGGTGAAGCACAATGAGATGCAAAAAATTATTGCACGTTAAATTACGTGGATACAATATACTGAAAAAAGTACCACTGGGATTTCAAATACGCACAGTAATTCCAGGGAAGGGAGCAACTTCTGAGCCTGTGGCTATAAGTATGTTCTTTGTGTTGATAACTTGTGTGCTGCCATCTTCTTTGGTTGCAGTGACTTGAGTTTTGCCCGTTATTTTTCCAAAACCAGACACGTGCACAACCTTTAGTAATCAGAACACAGTAAATTCAGATTCGAATTACTTTTATGTAAGTTATGCTACATTCAATCTGAATCGCACTAATGCTTTATAGAAGCTGCTAACAAATACCTTTGCATCACTCTCTGGTACAAATCACAACATAATTGTTCTGTTACGTCTTTTAAGTAGATTAAGAATGAAGGAACCGTTCATTTAAAAACTTCCTAGAAGGGAAGCATTCAAATTCTGCCCTTGCCAAGTCAGTCACTTGAATTAACTTATGTGACAAGAATACAAAAATGCAAAAATCAAAGTTCAGATCAGAAAAAAAAATCATGGCTATACCTCAGTACACACTAACCTTGTTCTGTTTAAACAAATGAGCAATTCCACCTGTTAAAGCCTTCACTGCACCACGCTTCTGCTCCATCATCTTCTCTAGATTCAAACGGATTCCTGTAACTAAGGTTAAAAAAACCAAACAAACCTTCTATCAAGCACTGCAGCATTTTCATTTAAAGGAGCTAACCTAACCACAAAGCTCTGACACACTAAATGCTAAAGGGGACTATTGCACTTTTCAAATATAACTTAGCTATCCATGATTCAGGGAGCAGACACATGGCCTTAAACGCTCCAGCTGACAGACAAAGGATATTGTTTATAAGTCTAAGAAGTTTTTCTGACCAGCAAACTCTAGTAGTTGGATTTGAATGATTAAATTTACTTGTTGATGGAAACCATTTACATTAAGAGGCACCGCCCAGTCGCTCTTCATACTCACTTTCGATTCCTCTATTAGCAAAATCTTTCCCATGAGCCAAGTGATACAGATGCGAGTTGTTCAGCAAGGCCTACAACACAGACAAATGTCACTTGGGACATACACTCATGATTGAATTAATTATTCATTACATTATCAGTTGAAGAAAGTAATCTGATGTTATTTGCAAAACATTCTTACTATTAAGGAAAAGTCTGACACGTACGTATTTTAAAAAGTGTATTTCAAACAGAAGTTATTCACTGTAGTTCTTACTGAAGTGTTTTAAAAAGACACATATTTAACACAGAAATAGAAAATAGTTAAATCCACGCCCATCCTTTTTGCTCATTTCACCACAGACATTGGAAATTACTCCAAGGGGATTTAGAAAAAAAATAGGAAAATACTTCCAAGTAGAGGAAAGATGATTCTGACTGACTCACTGGGCAATTTCCTTATTACCTCAAACAAGCAATTATATGTCAACAAAAAGAGAACAGACAAAAATTGGATGAAGAAAATCTACACTGAAATCCCATGTAGACATAGGCAAGCTAAAATTTTGAAGTTGAGGAGTTGTGGTCAAGTTATTACAACCACTTAGCAAGTTGACCTGAAGCTAGATGGCTTAGAGCTAGCTCAGGTCACCAGACATTCAGAACTCAAAGATAAAATTAGAACAGCTTTCCTAGAATGTCTATAAATCAGCTGCTGAAATGCAGAACCCCTCTGACTGTATTTTTGTTAGGAATAGCGATATAATTAGGGAGGGATCTTAGTAAGTAAAATGATGTCTTTTGCTACAGCCATCCCCAACACTAATGCAAGGACAACAGGTGAAGTCCCCGCAGACTGAAACCTAAAGCAGGCATAGTCAAAGATTCAAAGCACATTTTGAGATACCTGCCTTATATACACACACACGAGTAAAACTAATCCTCTCAGAGTAAGACAACTCCATTTCTATAAAAGTCTTATCAACTCTCTAAAATTCATTTGCCTGTTTCACACAACTGTCACAACCTTGAATCGGTAACATCCAACATTAAAGACACAACCACCTCTATGACTTCAGCAATTAGAAAGCAGAAATAAAAATCCATGCCCTATAGATTATTTTGGGTAGCTTTTAGGAAAGGAATAACTGAATAATTCGTTATTGCCTCAGTGTATGCAGCCTACATGGCCACATATTAAGTTTATTACTATTCAGAAAAATTCTGGATAGCATCTACGTTTAGCCACGGCTTCAGAAGTATTTTCATGAGAACTTCAAAGGATTAAAAAAAAAGAAAAAATATCACAAGAATACTCAAGAAGTTAGTTAAATATATCACAACAGAGTTCCAAACTTTCAGAAATATTTAGATTTATTTTCTCTACCTCTAGTGACACAGTTCAGCACTCTAATGTAAGAACATAATCTTGGACAAAACTACAGGCTTTTTTGAACAAACTGGTAAGAGGTGATGAAGAAATTCACACAGCACAAGAGGCACAACCATCTGAAACAGCCCTCATTACTGGTTACACATGGACGCAACAGCTCAGAAAAAGATCTCGATGTACCTCTGGTTTTCATCCTCTTCTCCTTTCTCAACTGGGAAATCACAGAGGTGTAAACAAAACATTTCTACTGAGCAAATAAAATTTTAACCCTTTGTGTTACGTAGATTTATTTGTATCCTCAGTTCATTTGGATGATAATTCCATTTTTTTTTTAAAAGTAAAAATCTTGGAAAAAGATTAACGAGGAGTATCTCAAGTGATGCATATAATATCTGTTGTTTTTAATGAAGTTATGACAAATTACACTTACCTTGGATGGAATACATCCAACATTCAAACAGGTTCCACCTAATGTTTCATTTTTTTCTACACAGACAGTCTGAGGGAAAAGAAAAAAGGAAAAAACCCAGTTTTTAAGAATACTATGCTACCATTTTCTTACAGGATATTTCACAGATTAGAATTGATGACAAAGACCAGGCATTTATCCAGTAACTCTTCCTCTACAAGTGTTTTATCAATTTCATTCCTAGATCTATTCTGTGGCTCAGATTTCCCTCCTTCATTTTTCCTTAACTTAAAAAGCACAAAATGGCTCTTTTCAACAAAATCCTTCACCAGAAGAGAGCCGCACTCCACACTGCACCATTTATACTTTGACACAAGTTTAAGTGCTGTTCTTCTACTTCAAACACTGACGAAAGTTGCCTCAATTAAGTACAACTCACTTCTGTGAAAGATGCCCCCCTTACAATTAAAATTAAAACCAAAACCAAACCCTGTAAAAAAACAAACAAAAAAATGTAAATCATGCAGAGGATTGCTAAAAACAAGCAATCACAAGCAAACAACAGACAAATGAACCAGCTCAAGATAAAACTACATCAAGTAAGCTTTTCTTTAAAGAAAAACAGAACAAACCCCACACACCACAAAAAATGTTTCCCTTTCTAAACACGCTACCCTGTAAGGCCCTTTGCTATCAAGTTGTGCCAATACCTATAAAGAAAGAAAAAGTAAAAATCAAGTAAAGCAGGGCCAAGCAAAAACAAGGTCAATACCAACGGGGATGGAAAATATTTCATCTCCTTCTTGTCAACTTGCCAACATCAAAGCATGCAAAGGAAAAATAAACAACTGACAAAACTTCAAGATCACTTGGGAGTAGAAGAGACTGCCATAAACCTGTTTTATAGAAGCCAAAGAATTGGCATCTGCTTCTTTGCAAGGCACACGCATGTTAAAATAACAGTTCCTTGTTAATACTCTGAGAGCTCCAACCTGCTGAGAAGTGATGACCCGGGTGAAAGCCTTCCATCATTTCCTCAAACTGCTGGTTTTGTGGTAAAGCAGAGGTGATGGTAACATGAGGAGCAGGATTCACCGTATCTAATCACAGAAACGCACTGTGATCCTTTCTCTACCTTTCCTCTGTTTTAAGCACAAGAATGCAATAAAAAATGATCCAAGGGCTTTAAAAGCTGCACCATGGATCGACCAGCACCAGACTGTTTCTAATTTACCCGCTAAGGAGGTTCTGCCTCTTCCACTTTACACCAACTTTCCCCACGAGGCCAAGAAAAGTCACTGAAAAGCCAATGGCCAGAAAATACTGGGCAGTAACATGGGATTCTGTGGTAGTGACACAAGGACTTAACGCTTGTGCTAGCGGATGTAGCGCTAAAATTGGAGGTTAAAGTTCAGTACATCAGTAGAGCACACTCAGGTTCTTCCACGGATGGTGTAACTACAGAATCTATCTTTCTGGCAAGCTCACAGAAACATCTCCTTACATTCCTCAAAGACAGCATAAACATTTTTCAAGTTTATTCAGTGTTACAGGTGACAGATGCAACACGTCCAAGCATTTTGTCTGCTCCAGCTTGCTGTAAAGCAGTGTAACAAGATTATTTTTTGCTGTCATGAAAAACAAAATCCAGGGCACTTTAACCTTCCTGTCTATGCTATTCTATTGTTAACTACAGATATGAAAGACCTGAGGAGAGCACTGCTGCAAGAAAAACAGGCATACAGCCACAAAAAATAGCTTTAGAATAAACAAAACAAGAACTTACATGGCAGAAGGCCTCAATCTCAATTAAAACCTGTAGCACTGAGAACCTTTTTTCTCAGGTATAATAGCTCAGTGACAACATACATCTAAAAGCAAGAGTATTTATTAGGACCAAAAAAAAAGAAATCACAAATGGGGATAAAGACAACTCAAACATCTGCACTAGGTCACTGGCAGATATAAAACTTCTCAATGGAATCTCAAATGCTTATATTTTGGTACAGTTACACATCACAAGGCTGAAAGATACCTAAAGTGGCCTCACTGACACCCAGCTGTGTGAGCAACGACCAATGAGTAACAACACTCAGAATTACAGAACAGTTTAGGCTGTGGAGGCCATCCAGCCAACCCTTCTGCTCCAAACAGTCAGCGCCAAAGATGTATCAGGTGGCTCAGGGCCTCCTACAGGTTGTTCTGAAAATACCCAAGGATGAAGACTAAACACCATCCACACCCCTGTTCCAAGGCTTCACTGGACCTCTGTGCATCAACGGGAACTCCTGTCCTTACCAGGTCATCTAATCAACTCATCTTTGTCACAAAGTCCAGCTGCACTGGGACATCGCAGCCAG